TGGGGATGAGGATGGGGATGGGGATGGGGTTCGGGGGGGTCTCTGCTCCGTCGGGCTCCGTTTTGCCTCCGCTGTTTCTTTGGGAAGCAGCCAGGGTTGTTGTTTTGTTATTTTTATTTTGGGGGGGGCTGCTCGGTGCCCCCCACCCCGGGCGGCCTCTGCTGGGCTGGAGGGGCAGAGATGTGGAACTGGGGGGGCTCCGGCCAGTGCAGCCCCCGAAAGGGCAGCGGGGAGCGGCGAGGCTCAGCCTGGGGGGTTCGGTGTTTGTGCCCCCCCCCCAATTAATCCCGCAGGGCTGGGTGGGGGGCAGAGCGAAACCCCCCCAAATCGGGGGGTGCCCGGCTCGGTCTCGGGGCTGTAACTTGGTGGGAACAAGACTTGGGGGGGCAGGCGGCAGAAGTGGGGGACCCGCCGTGCACGGGGGGTTCAGGGCAGGGCTGGGGGGGCCGTGCAGGCAGCGCCCCCCGGGCTGGGGGGGCTCCGTGCCCGTTTTGTGGCTCAGCACCGTGGGCAGAGCTGGCGAGGGGGGGACTCTGGAGTGCCGTGGCTGGGGGGGCTGTGCCTGACCCCAATCCTGCCCTGCCACCCTCACTTGGGGTGTCCCGGACACCCCCAGAGCCCGCAAAGCCCCCTGCCCCCCCCGCCTGAGCTCCACCATCCCACATGGCCCAGAGGAGTGGGAGGCTGGGGCACCCCGAGCCCCCCCAGCCCCCCATGGGGCAGAGGGGCGTGGGGAGCCCCTCCCTGCTCAGGGGATTTGGGGAGGGGGCGCAGCACCCCCCGTTAGAGCCGGGGGGGGGGATGCCCACGGGGCTGTGCCGTCGGCACGGGGTGACCTTGGGTGAGCTCTGCCTCCCGCCGTGCCTCAGTTTCCCTCTGCCAAACCAGGTCATGAGCTGGGGGGGGTTGCAGAGGGGACCCCCAGTGCATCCCCCATCCCTGGGGTGTGCGGGGGGGGTCAGACACCTGCCGTGAGTGCCCCCCCCCGCGGGGACACTGCTTGCCTGGGAGAGGCAGGGTGACAGTGGCACGTGTGGCAGCGCCGTGCCCCCCCAGGTGCCCCCTGGGCCTGTTCGGGTCCAGCAGGGCCGGGTCCGGACCGGGGGTGGGGGGCAGGGGGGGCTGAGCTCCCTGGGGATGGGCTGGGGGTCCCTCTGTGTGCTCCCCCCGGGCGTTCACCCCACAAAACGCTGAGGGGGTCTGTCCCGGGGTGCCAGCTCCGGGCAGTGCCACGTGTCCCCCTGTGACACCCCGCGGGGCTGGGGGGCCATCCCGGGTGTCCCAGGGTGCCAGCGTGGCTCTGCAGCCCCTGGGCAGCATCCCCGGGGTGACACGGGCACCGGGGCACGGCTGGCACGGCTGGCACGGCTGGCACAGCTGGCACCGGGGCACGTGGGTTCGTGCAGGGGGACAGGAGGTGCCCCCGGGGGTCGGGTCCAGCTCTGGGGGTGCCGGGGGCAGCTCGGCCCCCTCCAGCAGTGCCAGGGTGTCGGTGTGGGGGGCACAGCTCACCCCCTGCCAGGAGCCCCCGGGGTTTTGGTGCCGTTCCCACAAACACAGGGGAGGGCCTGGCTGGGCCGGGTGACCCCGCACCCAGCCCGGGGTGCCCAGGGCAGGGCTGCCCCTCGGGGGGCTGCGGGCACCTCCCGTGCCCCCTGGACCAGGGCTCTGCTGGCCCTGCCTCCCTTTCAGCCCCCCCAGGCACGGGACAGGACAGTGACACTGCCTGGGTGTCCCTGTCCCTCTGGGCTGGGTGTCCCTGTCCCCACAGGGCTGGTGTCCCTGTCCCCACAGGACTCTGGTGTCCCTGTCCCCACTGAGCCGGGTGTCCCTGTCCCCACAGGCCGGGTGTGTCCCTGTCCCCACAGGCTGGGTGTCCCTGTCCCCTCAGGCCCCGTGCCCCCCGGACCAGGGCTCTGCTGGCCCTGCCTCCCTTTCAGCCCCCCCGGAGCCCCCAGGCACGGGACAGGACAGTGACACTGCCTGGGTGTCCCTGTCCCTCTGGGCTGGGTGTCCCTGTCCCCACAGGGCTGGTGTCCCTGTCCCCTCAGGGCTGGTGTCCCTGTCCCCACAGGCCGGGTGTGTCCCTGTCCCCACAGGCTGGGTGTCCCTGTCCCCTCAGGCCGGGTGTCCCTGTCCCCTCGGCCCTGGCCGCACACGCCAGGCCCCGCTCCGGCTCCCAGTTAAACCAGTAAGCCCCGCGCTGCCCCGGCGCTGCCCGCCGGGCGCTGCCGCTGGATGCAGATCCCTGCTGCAGTGCCGGCTGCGGTTTGGATCCCCAGACAAGCTGGAATATTTTTAATTAAACCTGCCACTTTGGATGCGATTTCATTTTTCCGGCGGGCTGAGCCGCGCCGGGCCCTGGGAGCAGCTCCCGGCTGGGGCCGGTCCCAGCCCGGGCCGGGGCTGTTGGCACCGGGCAGGGGCACCGCGCTGCCCGGGGGGGCTTTGCCTGCCCCGCTGCGCCAGGCGGGGTGCCCCCGGTGGGTTTGGGGGCACGAGGAGCAGCGCAGCAGAGTGGGAGCCGTGCCAGCCTTGCCTGGTGGTGCCACCGGCACCCCGGAGCTTTGTCCCGGGAGCTGCGGGCGCTGCCCGGGGCTGGGGGAGCAGCCGGAGCTGGGCACCCCAGGAGGCCCCGCAGCCTTGGCACTGCCCGGCCAGCGGCAAATGGGACACGGTGGCCTTGGGGCCACCCCGCCGGGCTCAGGGACGCCCAGGCTTTGGTGATGTCCCCAAAAAGGGATGGTGAGGGTTTGGATTCGCTGTGTGAAGCAGGGGGAGAGGGAGAGCAGTGGGCTGGCACAGCGGAGCTCCCCGAGGGGCTGCCGTGTGCTACCGGGATTTTACTCCCTATTTAATTACAATTTTGTCAAATAAAAAGAGAAAAAAAAGGGGGATAAAGAGATCCCCCTCGTCTCTTTGTGGCGGTTCCCAGCAGCCGGTTAATTAAACAGCGGCTGCTGAAGCCGCCGCTCCCGGAGGGGCCCGGCCGAGCTGGGGCTCGGCGTCACACCTGGGCTCCAGTCGCTCCCAGTTCAGCCCAGTTCGGGCCGCTGGCTGTGGCTGCGGCTGTGGCGGTGTCGTGCCGATGCGCCGTGGCTAATCCTCACTCCTCGCGTGTAATCCCGCCCGCCGGGATAATCCCATCAAACCCGAGCTCAGCGCCGGGTTTGGCGCCGGGGGGATCCGGGAGGGACATGGGGAGGGGACACGGTGGCCCCGGGGGAGCGGCGGCTGCGGGAGGGACCGTGGGACCTGCGGGAGCCTGCGGGGAGCTCGGGTGGGGAAACTGAGGCACGGAGCAGGGCCCAGGAGTGGAGGGAGGCAGCGCTGGGAACAGCCCCAGGGTGATGGAAGAGGGCGGGAGGGGACGAGCCAGCGGTGGCAGCGCCCGCGGGTCACCCGGGAGAGGGATCCGGGGTGGCACAGGTGCCTGGTTGGCACGGAGGGAGCACCGCGGGCATTCCTGACCGGCCCTTGCATCGCCTCCCGCCGGCAGCGCTGGGACACAGCGCCGGGAGCCGGGAAGGGTCGGGTGGAGGTTTGGGAGGCGGGGGCTGGGATCCATCCTCGCCCTGGGCCCGAAATAACCCGGCCCTGCTGTGTCCCTGTCCCTGTGACAGCCCTGGTCACACGGGGGACACCCGTGAATACACCTGGACACGTGTGACATGGGACAGCCATGAACACACCTGCACATGTGACACCCATGAACACACCTGCACATGTGTGACACCCCCTGAACACCTGCACACATGTGACATGGGACACCCATGAACACACCTGCACATGTGACAGCCATGAACACACCTGCCATGTGTGACACCCCCTGCACACCTGCACACGTGTGACACCACGCACAGACACACAAGTGCCACCCAGTGCCCGCACACGGTCCCACACAGATGCCAGCTGGTGCCCACATTCCTGCACATGTGTGCCCCCGGTGCCTCCTGCCAGCCCTGCACGCGACACCTGGTGCACACACGCTGACTGTGAGCGACATGTGACACGTGTGACACCTGCTGTACACACCGACACCTGCACACACACACACACACACGACACACGGTGACACGCGCACACACGTGACACCCCGTGCCCACTCCCCACGCACAGATGGCACCTGGCACAGCTGGCAGGGCCGCGCTGGGGACAGGGACACCGTCCTGCCCCGAGGCTTGTGGCGCCGGGGCTGAGGAGCTGCGCTGGTGGCGGCAGTGGGGTGGCAGTGGCGGTGACAGTGACAGTGGCGGTGGCAGCGGTGGCAGCGGTGGCCTGGCGGGTGCCACGGGCAGTGCCGGGAGGACGAGGAGCAGGAGCGGCTCCGAGGCCGCTCGGACCTTCCGGCGAGGCGGCAGCGCGGAGGCGGCGCTGGGAACAATGGCCCTTTGTTCTGCGCCGCTGGCATGCACAGCCCGGCCTGCAGCCCGGCCTGCATCAGCCTGCATCCTGCATCCCAGCCTGCATCCCACAGCCTGGCCTGCATCCCATCCTGCATTCCATCCTGCATCCCAACCTGCATCCCAACCTGCATCCATCCTGCATCCTGCATCCATCCTGCATCCCAGCCTGCATCCCATCCTGTATCCCATCCTGCATCCCAGCCCGCATCCCATCCTGTATCCCACAGCCCATCCTCCCTCCTCCATCCCATCCTCCACCCTGCCTCCCAGCCCACATCCCCTGCACATCCCACATCCCCTGCTCCATCTGCACATCCCCTGCCCACCCTGCATCCTGTCCTCTCCTCTCCCCATCCCACGCTCCCTCCATCCCTGGCACTCCCGGTGCCCATCCCGGCCCCGTGGGGCCCCGAGCCGGGCGCTGGTGGCTCAGGGGGGTGGGGGTGTTGGGTGTCACCCCACAAATCCCACCTGTCCCCCACTGTGACAGAGGGCACTTCCAAAACAGAGAGCAGGATGGAGAGGATGGCAAAGAGGAGGAGGAGGAGGCCGCAGGGTGAAGGCTCACGTGCTCTCACCCACGCCTCGGCACCGGAAGCCACTTGTCACTTTGTCACCCTCTGGGCACACGGGCGGTGGCAGGAGGAGATCTGCTGGGGGTGGCCGTGTCTCCTGTCCCCTCTGGTGTCCCCATCCCCGGGTGTCCCTGGCGGGTGGGTGGCTCCAGGTGGGCACCCTGAGTGCCACCTCCAGGGCCATCATCACGGGGGGGGGACAGCAGGATGCTGGGCATGACACTGAGGTGACATTGAGGTGACATTGAGGTGACCTGCCACCTCAGCCCCTCTCTGCCCATTGAACCCAGCAGATATTTATATTTAACCTCATTTAAATACAAGGAGGAGGTGGAAGATAATCCTAATGGGAAGTGCTGCCTCAGGGCCTGGAGGGTGGAACAGCCCCACTGTCCCCACCAGAGGTGACACCGGGAGGGGGGACCTGAATGCCACCAGGCCCCCAAAACCCACAGCCCAACTTTATCAGGGCCTAAAATCTGACCTGGATGTGGGGCTGACCCCTGGTGCCGACCCCCCGGAGCCTCCTCCAGCTCACCTGGCTCTGGGGTGGGGGGGTTGTGATTGCAGGGCTGCTCTCTGAGGACTGGAGTGGCTTTGGGGTGATTTGGGGTGGGTTTGGGGTGATTTGGTGTGGTTTGGGGTCGGTTGGGGTGGCTTTGGGGGGTTTGGGGTGATTTGGGATGGGTTTGGTGTGTATTGGGGTGGCTTTGGGGTGGGTTTGGGTGGGTTTGGGGTGCTTTGAGGTGGGTTTGGGGTGCCGTGGGTGGGGTGGGTGTGTCGGCAGCCTCCCATCCCGGGAATGCCGGGCTGGAATTGCAGGTTCCCTCCCGAGCCGGATGTAAACACCGCGGTTGTTGTTTAGGGTCCCCCACGGGGCCGCTCCCGGAGCTGCTGTCCCTCTGCTGCTCGGGGACACGGACCCGTGGGGACACGGATCCGCCGGGCAGGGGACACGGGGGAAGGGGCTCCGGGGAGTGGGACAATCTGGGGACGGGGGGGGTCCATAGGAGGAGGTGACAGGAACCCCTGGGGACAAGGATGGGCCAGCCGGGGCGCACGGGGAGGTGACACCCCGGGAGCGGCAGGGTTGGGTGGGGGTTCCCAGGGCGGGGCTGGAACTGGGGGTTCCCTCTTCCCTCCCCGAAGGGGAACTGAGGCACGAGGCCGGAGGAGGTGACTCGGAGCAGCCGGATCCGCTCCTGTCACCGCCCCGGGGCCATGCGGGTGCAGAAGAGAGGGGACAGGGTGACATCGAGGGGACCCCGGCGGGGCACAGAGCCCCTGGGGTGGCGCAGGACGAGGGGGGTGAGTGCCTCTGGGGACACGTGGGGCTGTGGGGACACGGGGGATGAGGGGAATGGGTGTTTTGGAGGGGCGTTGGGGACAAGTGGGGTTTTGGGGACAAGGGGGATGAGGGGCAGGCGTTGGGGACAACGGGGGGTGACAGTTTTTTAGGGGACAGCAGGGACAGGGGGGGATGTGTGCCATAGGGACAAGTGGCCTGGGGAGACCAGCAGGACAGGAGGATCCTGGGGGGGACAAGGGACAAAGGCTGTGAGCGGGGGGGACAGCAGGGGACATGGGCTGTGAATTGAGGGGGGGGGACACAGCACTCCGTCTGCCACCCCCTCTGTCCCCCCCTCGGGGTTTATTTCGGCGTGACGCGCGATCCTCCTCGCTAGGAAACCGTTCTTAATATGCAGATGAGCCTGGATTTAATATGCAAATCACCATGCGGCTCTGGCCGGCCACCAGCACCGGCGGCGTGCCGGGGGGGACGCGCCGGGGCACCCATGGGTGGCACCCGCGGGTATCGAGGGGACCCCCAGCAACCGGGGCCGCCTCCGGGCAGCCGCGGGGGGGGACAAAGCCACCCGAGGTGACCGCGGGGTCCCCACCACCCCCGGTGCCCTTGGTCGCTGCGGTGTCCTGGGGGGCTCGGGCGCCTGTGTCCCCACCCGGTGGGCGATGGGGAGGGGACAGGGACAAGGGACAAGGGACAGGGAGCGGGGCTATAAACGGCAGCTGTAAACGGAGCCGGTAACCGGAGCGGGAGGCCCGGGGGGACATTTGAGCCGCCGGAGGGGCCGTGGAAGCGCCGAGGTAAATGGTGGGTGCTGTGTCCCCCCCGCGCCACCCCCATGCCTGTCACCACGCGGGGACCCCTCCGCTGCTGGGGTTGCCCCGTTCTCTGGGCACGGACTCTGGGGGTGCTGCCTGCGCCCCCCGGGAGCGCCGCTCGGGAAGGGGGGCACAGGGACAGGGACAGGGCCAGGGCCAGCGCGCCGTGCCAGGTGGCCGGGGTGACATTTGCTCCGTCCCTGCCGTGGGGACAGCTGCTTCCTGGCTCTGCCATCTGAACCGGCCCCGGAACGGAAACCCGGGGGGGCTCAGCCCCCCAGCCCCGGCCGCGGCAGCAGCTGGGATTGGGGGGGGCCGCGGCACTTGGGGGGGCACTGCTGGTGACCCCAAACCCCTCTGTGGCAATGGGGGTGAGCGGGTGACCTCACTGAGCAAGCACCGGGGGCCACATTTTGGGGGGCTGGAGCATGTGGCGGGTGTAAATGCCTCATTAGCATATCTAATTACTGATTTCTTATTGGCGTGGGGCGCCTTCTGAAGGAATTAACCCCAAAATGCGGCGTGAGACCGATGGGGAGGGACGTGGGTATCGGGATTGTACCGGGGAGTCCCAAAAAGTTGAATTTTCAGGGATTTCATCGACGGTGTCCTTTGCCACCCTCCCCCCTGTGTGTCCCCCCTTCCCAGATCCTGCCCTTCCCAATGTCCCCCCATTCTCCGGTGTCCCCCCCTCAGTGTCCCCTCCTTTCCCGGGTGTGTCCCCTTTCCCTGGTGTCCCCCCTTCCTGGTGTCCCCCCATTCCCAGGGTGGGGACACTGCCCTCCTAAGGGGATGGGGGGCCCGGGGGGGGGGGACTGTCCCCCGCTGTCCCCTCTCTGTGTCCGGGGGGGTCTCACCGGTGCCTTTCCCGTGGGGTGCCGCTCGGGGGGTCCCAGGGGTGCCCCCCCGGGTCCCCGGCTGCGGTGACAGCTGCGGGGGTGGGGGGGGCCGGTGGCTCCGGTTACGGTGACATCAGCCCTACCTTCCCACCTGGCGCGGGCGGGGGGCACGGGCCCCCTCCCCCGGGGGTCGCGGGGGGTTGACGTGACAGCTGAGCCCCCTGAGCGTCCCGGAGGAGGGGAGGGGGGGGTGGCACCCCCGGGCACGGGACCCGCGCGTGCGGGACCCCCCCGGCAGCGGAGGGGACAGCGGTGACACAGGGCGGCGGCGGAGGCGGCCGGAGCGGCTCAGGTGGGCAGAGCGCCGAGCTGGGGGGGGCAGATGGCAGGGGAAGGGCCCCCACCCCCCCGGGAAGGGGGGACAGAGTGGTCCCCCCCCGGCAGGGACACCCCTCGGTGGGATCAGAGGTCCCGCTGCACTCGGAGCCGCCGGGATTGCAGCAAAAGGGGAGCCCCGGGGCTGCCCCCCACATCCTGCCGCATTCCCCAGTGCCGGGGGTCGCGGAGATGCTGGGGGGGGGAGGGTCAAGCAGCTCCCCCCGCCCCCCAAAGCTTTGTGTGTCGGGGTGAAGGCTGAGCGCGTTCTGTGGTGGGGAAACTGAGGCACGGAGCAGGGAGAGCGACATGCCCGAGGCTGCTCACCCGCTCCGTGTCGGGGATACCCGAGTGGAGACCCCCCCCTCACCCCCGGCACATCCCCCCGTGTCCCCCCGCTGCCTCAGTTTCCCCGCAGCCGCGCTGGGGACCCGCGCGGTGACCGTCCCCCTGCTCCGCCGCCGCCGTGAATGGGTCCCTGTTTGTCACCCCCCCCCTGCCGTGTCCCCGTCCCCGCCGCGCCCCCTCCTCCCCGCGCCCCCCTCTTCCCGCTGCCTTTTCTTTCCCCGCACAATCGCTGGCATTTATGGCGCCGGAGGCTCCGCGCCCGCCCGCTGTCCCCGCCGGGCTGGGGACGGTGACACCGGAGCTGCCACACGGCCCCCCCGGATTCCCGATGGACCCCGAGCCCTGCCCTGGGGTGGCTTTTTGGGGTCCCCCTCCCTCCCTCTGTCCCTTGGTGGCTTTCGGGTGCCGCTGGTGACAAAGCGGGCAGGAACAGCTCATTTCCCTCTTCCTGGGGACACCGTGGGGACAGCTGGGCGTCACTGGGAGCTGTGGCACTCTGGGGACAGGTTTGGATGTCCCGGAGATAGTGGGGACGTGGTGGGTGTCCCAGGGGTGGTGACACCCCGAGGACGGGGTCAGTTGTCCCCTGGGGAGGTGACACCCCGAGGTCGCGGTCAGTTGTCCCCAGGGGCGGTGGCACCAGGGCCGGGTCCCGCTGGGGTCACCTCCTGCCCGGGGGCTGTGGCACAGCAGGGTCGGGGTCAGATGTCCCCCGGGTCTCACGCGGGGCCGGTGACACCGCGGAGGGGCTGGGGACGCGTCCCCCCGCTGGCACAATGTCACCATCCCTGTCCCCGCGGGGGAGGAGGGCGCCGCTTCGATCGCTCCCGCTCCCATGGAATCAATGATCAATTAATTCCCTGCCCGGCTGCTAATTACCCAGCCCGGCCCCAGCCCCTCGGGGACGAGCGACAGGCTGGGCATGGTGGCCCAGCGTGGCGAGGGGACCGTGGCGGTGGCACCGGGGCTGTCTGGACGGGAGGTGCTGTGACACTCTGAAGTGTCCCTGGAGATTTTCCAAGACACCCCGGGTGGCGTCTGGGGAGGGGGAAGAGCCCCTCTGCCTTCCCTCTTGTCCCTATGTCCCGTGTCCGTGTGTCCTCATCCTCCTGTCCCCGTGTCCCCATGTCACCAGCAGTGACAAACCACCGGCATGGCCCCAATCCCCGGCGGCACCTGAGGGTTTGGGGTGCCCCGGGGGGGGTTCCCGGTGCGTGCTGCCCCTGCCAGCCCTGCCCGTGCCCGCAGGTGCGGTGGGTGCCCAGCCAGGGCGGGGGGCACCATGGCACCCCCTGCCCGCGCCCCGCTGCTGCTGCTGCTGCTGCTGGCGGCCGAGAGGACGGCGAGGGGCTCCTTCCCCGAGGAGCCCGGCCCCATCGCCGTGGCCCCCCCGGACTGTGAGTGCCCACCGGGGGCTGGGGGGGGTCGGGGGGCACGGGGGGCACGGGCAGGGAAGGGGTTTGGGGGGGCTGGGGTGAAGGAAGGAGGGGGCACCCAGGGGAGGGTTGGGAATGGGATTGGGCAGGACCCGCGGGCAGGGCTGGGCTCTGGGTTACTTTTGGGGTACCTCTGGAAGGGGTTTGGGGGTTTTGGGGTGCTTTGGGGTCAAGGAAGGCGGGGGGCAGCCACGGGGTGGGATTTGGGGCTGGTGGAGGGAGGGAGGGCACCGTGTGACCCCCGTGCCCCCCCAGACGTGAAGCACTACCCCGTGTTCGTGGGGCACGGCAGCGCCCGGCCGGGGGGCCCCGAGGGGGGGGGCAGCCAGCGCCTCAACATCCAGCGCATCCTCAAGGTCAACAGGACCCTCTTCATCGGGGACAGGTCTGCACCCACCACCCCAAAACCTCCCCTGCCCCG